TTTGTTTGTTTGTTTTCTTGTTTTTTGAATGTCCAGAGGACCAGATTGAACTTTTTTGGATTTTTCTACCTGGATTATTGAGCATGTATCAGGATATGAAGGATGGATAGTGATTGAGCGAGCAGCATGTCTCTTTAAGTAAAATGGGAGGGAGACCCCTTGACGTGACATGGGCTGTCTTTCATTATTTTTCGGTTTTCAAAATGGCGGACGCTCAGTGGGGTTTGAGCTGTTTAGCATAGCATTTGTCACACAAAGCTTTTAATTAAAAAAATCACTAAACAAGTTTTCAGCTCCTCTTTGCAGAGAAAAACAACTTTTTTACACCCAGGCACAGGTTTTAACCGTGAATTTTGGAGCTTCGACAAGACGGAGGTCCCCCCCCCCCCACCCCCACCCCCCCGAGGTCAACCTGTTAACTTAGCTCGTAGCTTAGCTTCTCAGCTTAGCTGCTTTGAACAATACAAAAATGCGATTTTGGACGTTAAAATGGATTTTAAAGAGAAAAGAGAAAGGGAGGGGTCAGTGAAGAACACCGGAGTTGAGCTTTTTGTCATCCAGTGTCTTCAGTAGAAAGAGAGAGACATGAAGAAACGATAAAGCCGATAAATGAAAATGAGGTAGATAATTTTATCATGCGATTAATTGATTTATTGTTTATTGCGTCAGGCCTAGGTAACAGATCATTGTAATACTTGGTTTATTTACATAATGACTTTAATCACTGGATGTCTGGCCTCTGAGCTGCTGGCTTTCAGAAACTGTGACCCCTGAGTAGTTGAATAGCCCTGGTTTATAATTTCACTCTTACCTGGAAGTCAGGGTTGAAGCTGAACAAGAAGGTCTCTCCGGTGCCGTAACAATATTTACTGACTTTGAACGGATCAGAAGAAAAAGCCCCAAACACCTGGAAGACACAAGGAAGTTAGCTGTTGTGTTGGCTGGAGATTTTTTTTATAGTAATAAAACTTTGGAGATTGAAGTTTTATATTCAAACCTTTTTGTGTATGTCTTTAATAACAAGCAGCACGGGGCTGTCCAGATCAGCCATGTTTCTGTAAAGTGTCTTCAGGCTGCTCCCGTGGACGGCTGTGCTGTAAACCAGATTCCACGGATAGCCCTGAGTCCGTGCAGGCATGTGAGCAGCAAGCTGTGGAGAAACAAGTTGTTGATGGGATGATGACCACAGAGATCTAACAATTGTAACCATGGCAAGTGTATCCACCTATATAGGTGAGATTCTGTAAAACGGACCTTTTGCAGGTGGTGATCATTCAAAAGTTTGCTCTTTTCGCTCAGAACAGGAACTGCAATTTCTACTTCCTGGTGCTCCTCTGCCTCAGAGTCCACTGAGCTGCACAGACTGGAGCGATGGCTGGAGTCATTCCCTGAGAATATCTGCATTACAGCACAAAATGCAACAAACAGCTGAGAAAACATGTTTAACATTACTGTGTTATGAACCTCTGTCAGAGACTTCCCTTCGTTAGTGTTTTTAACTCCTCTAATAAACAGCAGATAAAGTGATCTCACCTCAACATAAGGTTCCTCAAAGTCTCTGGCATAATAAAACACTTCTATATGTTTCTTCACGTTCTTCATAGCTCCTGATCTCTCTGACAGTTCTGCACACTGTCCTCCCTCGTGTATGCTCTCTAGCTTCTACTTATGTACTTCAGCTTTATTTTCACTTTCACTGGAACCACCCACATGTAGCTGCGTTCCTTTTCATCATAAATAGAAAGTTAAGCCTAGGACTGGGATACGGCGCGGAAAAGGAAGTCCATATAAAGCGTGTGGAGCCATATAAGGCGTGTGGTGTTTCAGAGAATAAACGATTTCTTTACTGTTAGAGAAAAAAACATGTTTCCAGTAAAGTTTAATGCATAGAGAGGTAATGTGCTGAAGCCAGTCTACCATGCAGTCATTTTGTTTCATCTCCAGTCATGTGTGTTTATGTTTTTAGAGCTTACCTTCCAAGTTTTTAAACTTTTAATTAAGCTGGCAGGTTTGCTGAGGACCTTATTTACTGCACCCATCATTCTGTCCACGACCAGATAACTGTTGGGATGTTTCTCTCTGCTGAGGTCACAAGACTTGTGCTTTTTCTTTCTTTTGGTGTAAATTTCTGGTGACCATTCCACAAAGAAGACGTAAAGGTGGTTCACCCTGTAGGTAAATTAACAAAGGACATTTTGTTACTGATAAATTAACACATTATAATGTGCTTATGTTTCTGTTGCTGTTTAATCTGAATGAGTTGACATGACTTAAAAATAATATAATATATGATATATTTTTTTCTGTCTTGTATGAAAACAACTTTTACATTGTTTATGATGCGTAACCATGGCAACAAGGCAGTTTTCTACAACCAACAGCAGCTGATTAACATCTCAAAAGCTCAAATAATATTTCAACTACAGCCCCAAATCTCAAATGAGTTGAAAAGGATGTTCTGTGGATGCATTGTCATCTACCTGCTAGTTGTGCTCGAGTGCCTGACCACTGAGATCCTGGAACTAGCAGGAAACATGGGTCATGACAGCGGAAGGACATGATCGTCCCTCGGCACCTACAGTTGGCTGTCCACACCGACGAGGAGCTCAACAAGCTGCTGGGAGGAGTGGCCATCGCTCTGGGAGGAGTTCTGCCCGGCATTCGGGCGGTCCTACAGCCTGGGGGAACCGAGAGGTCAGCCGAGTCTGGGTGGATGGATCGGATGGTATCTGCAGCCAGTTTCTTAGGATCCACTGTGGGATGGACCTTTACAAGAGATCCTTCCTGCCTACAGACATCAGTATCTATAACATCTCTTAATGAAATGAGGATAACGAGTTAAAACAACAAATAATTTCCCTTTGGGATTAATAAAGTATTTTTGAACTGAATTGAATATTATTCTACATCACTTAATAACCTAGCTGTTTTTGTTTTGTCTTTTTAATACCATTTTCTTTTATTTGTTCTCCTCAATTTGTATGCTTTTTATGATTGTCCACTGTTGTCATCACGCTTTGATAAAATCAGGTCTCTCTTGTAAATGAGCCCCAGAGGCTCAATGGGAATAACCTGTATCAATAAAGGTTGAATGAATCTAACACGTTAAAAAAACGCACACTAAAAATATATCACCATTGTGGCTCTGCACATATTCTAGTTTGTTAAAACATAAGATATTTAAATTGGTTTTACCCATTGAAGTTAGGGTTTGCTTGCATTCTTTCTAAAAAAAGACAAAAATAGTAAAACTTACATACAACATACAAAAAATACCTGTTATTTGAATATCTGGAAAGTTTTATTTTATGTATTCATTACTCATGCAGAATACATTTTTTATTTATGCATTTTTTCTGTCTTGTATGAAACAACTTACATTGTTTAGTTCTGATAACAAGCTTCTCATTTATGTTAAACACCCCCCCCCCCCCAATCCTGGAGAGTAGAGGGGCTATTTGAAATCCCCTCCATCATTCCATGCATGTTGTGAGCATGATAACTTGAAATGTAAGTGAAGTACCAACTTCCATTTTGGTGTGTGGCTACATCTAGGCATAAGAAATGTCACCATCAAAAATTTAGTTGCCATATCAAATTTAAAGATAGCAAAGCTGGAAGATGGGGTGGC